ACGTGAAAGAGCATCGGCGACGACGTTAAGTCGTCCCGGTTTATACTCCACGGAGAAGTTGTACTCCGCGAAGAACGACAACCATCTCGCCATTCGTTGCGAGAGGTGTGGAATATTTACAGCCGTGCGTAGTGACGCATGGTCTGTATATACAATGAACGGTCTATCTCCTAAGAGATAGACGCAAAATCTATCCAGTGCATACTTCATGGCAAAAAATTTATTGTCATGAACCGGTTAGTTGCGCTCAGCTGGTTGCAGCTGACGCGATTAATAGTAGATGACGCGCTCTGCGCCGTCTGTGTCGTACTACATCAGTGCACAGCCGATTGCAAAAATCGCTTGCAATACAGACCAAAAGGAATGGTCGGTCTTGATCTACAATCGCCAGCACTGGCGCTTGCATTAAGCTTTGCTTAATACGTTTTCAAGGAGCGCTGACAGCCAGGTGTTTTTATGAATGAAGAGATGGCTAGATTTACCGAGCTTGCCTACTGACAAGGAAACCGCATAAAACCAGCGCTACCAATTAGTGTTATCTACCGCCAAAATTAGATGTATACCAACTCCGGTGACGACCCGAATCGTCTCCGAGATTGACATTGCGATCGCTTCATAAAAAATTTACGTGCCGACGGTTCAAAGCTAAGTAAGTGCCTGCTGTCTGGCTTGCTGGCGAAGCCTAAATTACATGTCTCTTGAGTAAAAAAGAAAGATGACCTGTTACTTCGGCGTAGTTACGCGAGCACTTATGCAAGTACGCCGCTAGCTCAAGGAACTTTCTTAGTCCCTTGACATCGACTGGTAATGAACATTTGGTAATCGCTTATATATTTTTCTGGATCAGGGCGTACGCCGTTCTTTCCGACGATGCACATAAGAAGTGGTTTTTGCTAGCCGCGAATATACACTTTTTGAGACTGGCTTTACAACTTATGCTCGCGCATAAGTGTAAGAACCTTACGGACGTAAATACTATGGACTTACACGTCTGTTTTCCCCCGTCCATAGCCCGACTATGGACGAACACATCATCGAAGTAACTTGGTGCGAATTCGCGTACCGGTCTAAATAGATGTGGAACACATCTATTGAATGTGGCTGGTGCATTACTAAACCCTTGCGGCATCACCAACTATTCCCAGAGCATACCACAGGGAGTGCTCACTGCTGTGTACGGGATGTCCCGTTCACGCATTAGGATCTGATAGAAACCATCCATCTGATTCATGGACAGAAAGATGGTACTCTTAGACATACCATCTATGATTACGTCCTTTCTCGGTATTGGTGTTTGCGCCGGTATCGTTTAAGCGTTCAACTTGTTGAACGCGTGTACTATCCGCCACCCTTCTGTGGCCTTGCGCACACAGAAAGTCGGAGAGCTGTGAGGTGAAGTTGACTCCCTTACATGGCCTGCTGCTAGGCGATCGGCAAAGAACTTGTCGATCACCTCGACCTGTTCCCGAGGCAGTGGCCACTGCTTCATGACACAATATTTTGTGCCTGGAATAGGTCGATCTCGTGTCGAGTACCTTTATCCTTAGGCAGCTCGCACGGTACGGATTCAGGGGATACATCCTTGAATTTGACCAAAATAAAAGGATTTGGCTTCAGTGACTTCCAGGATTGCGATGTGAATCGCTCAATCCGAGTCTTCTAGAGAACGGACACTTTCGTCCATTGATTAGCTGCTGAGAACCGGATCGTTCTCGGCAAAAACTGTTGCTGACCGAATGTCAGTCACATACTCGTCCTCTGCGATTAGTACGCAGATATGCTTGACTTTGTCACTACGCAGATCGCGCAAGAACCTGTATAGATTCGAGCGTAGGCAACTAAGTTATCTCCGATTTAACTGCGGAGGCGCAACCAGATCAATCATACAAGCGCCTACGTATGATCCGTCATTAACCAAGACGTTCAACGTCTCGGTTACTTCCTGGGGACTTATTCCCTCAGGGCACTGGGGACTTATTCCCTCAGTGATTGTTTCCTAGGGGCTCATTACCTCAGGCTCGATGGAACTTAATGTATCGGCTTTCTCTAGCTGTAGCTGCGCAACCACAGCGAGATCCTTTACTTTCAACTCTCCAGTAGATCTGAGGATACCGTGTTGCCGCTTCTTGGCAACCGGTATGTCCTTCGAAGCATGCTGCCCTCTAGGCGAGCATTCATGTCCCTGTCCACTCGACTTATTTGAGTGGTGGACCTTCGGCGCTTCTTGTGCTCGTGCACAACAGCCGGCAGCTTGCTCCCCAGTGTGGCTGTCTGTCACAATGAGTTCTTTTGCAGTCGTGCTAACGATCGAAGAACAAGTGAGGCCATCGCACGCAGTCGTAGTACATTCACACGCTTGTGAACGCTCCAAGACGTTCATAAGATGACCATCTGATGAACAAGCGGCAGGCATCTTCACGGTTCGATGCTGCGAGCTGACCCATGGCTCGTATCTATGATCCATGATAATCATAGGATGACAACAAACTTGTCATACAGACCGAGTACAATGACATCATCATCGTACTTTTTACCTTCAAGTGTGTAGTAAATTATCACTACACGTTTATTTACTGATACTGATGCATTAGTTGCAAGGTGCATCGTCATCCTTGTTGGAGGGGTCTTGAGCTCAACAATCATCTAGCGACTGGCGTCGAACAAAGTTATTTTACGGCTCACAGTCATCTAGGGCTCGAAGTTACATGTTCTTTGTCACTTCGATCTTCAAGGTGATAAAGGGTACCTCATCGCTAGGAGCGGCAACACACAGTGACTGTGTGCTGAGAGAAACCTTTGTCAGGAGTCCCGCAAACTCTCTTTAAGTTGCTATTTTAGTATAGAGCTCCACCTCTAATGACCTCGACCGCATTTTTGACGGTCCACCACGTTGTTACAATTTCGCAGCAGCGTGGGACCCACGTCTATGGCCCTTCTTGGCAAACGGACGATCGTCGCTCTCAGTGTTACGAGACACTGGGCGTGGGACACTACATAGTGACCCATCTTCTGAAAGGGATTGCACTTTTGCAATCGCTTGTATCCTAGGAAGCGAGGTCTCTAGCTCTCTACATAGGAGAGTTCCATTGTCTTTGGCCCTCCGCCTTCCTGTTGTTTTGGGGGGCGATAGGATACCGAGTGAGACATGACCCTATTGTAGGCTGAAGTCCTCCTATTCCGCTACAGAGATCGCCTGATCCAGCGATTCTAGTTCCAATCGGAACAGATGGTCTTGACGGGACCATCCGTCAGACCCTTGATGAACACAGTAACCTGTGTGTGTTCATCTATTGGGTTTGGCACGATACAACTAATAAGGTATCGTGCGTGTTGGGCGTAAGCGTGTATATCACGCTTACCCTGTTTCAAATCCAGGAGCTCAGCCCGAGCCCTGAACTCGGCGCGAGGCGGTTTAAACGTGTGTTTGAGCCGCGCCTTGAAGACATCATACGTTAGGAAAACGTATGGGTCATGCAGCTTGAGCCCTAAGGCCCAATCTTTGCCACGTATAGCCAAGTTCGACATGGTGAACTTGACCTTCATCGCATCGTCATCGATGCGACGAGCCTCAATGGCATCGTCGAGTTCGACGAACCATCTTAACAAGAAGTCGCTTTCGACTGCCTTGTACTTGGAGACATCAATCTTCAAGGACTTGAGTCGACGTATATGCGTCGATCCAGCAGAAGTACTGGCCTGCTGTTGTCTTAACAATTCAGTCTGTTGAGCACCCTTCTGCATTAACAAGTCATCTTGTCGAGCACCTTGCTCTTTCAACAAGTCTACCTGTTAAGAACCTTGCTCCTGTAGCAAAAATGAGTTTCTTTACGGCTTCGTCAATATTATATTGTATGAACTTGGCGATGGTTGCATGTTATTCGTCTTCGCTAAGAGAAGGAGCAACATGGCATTAGAGGCAGAGTTGCCGATATGTTCAGCCATATGCTGAACCGCATTCCATTCGAGATCACTCAAATGGCGAAAGCCATCACGCGTTGCGTGATCGCGTTCCTATCCGCTGGTGTCATAGCGGATCCTTCGGTGGTCGTTGTACAGACTACGAAGGGCTACCAGGTGTAATGAGGCACCTGCTTTTACTGTTATCAGTGAAGATAGTTTATACTCTACGAGTATATTCGGAGGGTTCCCCATTACATTAGTAATGAAGCTGGCTATGATAGCGACGCACTGGATTTCGGTAACGACGTCGGCTCTCGTATAGAGAAAGTTAAAGGTTGACGAATCGATTGACTCAGGAAATGATAGTGATGTTAGATGTGATAGCGACTCCCTATATGTCAGCAGGCTCTCGTATAGAGCAAGATAAGGTCGAAGGGCAAGTATTAGGAATACATCTTATGTAATATTCATAGTTACATACCCGTGGTGTATAGGGAAGTCTGTCACCCCGTTACAGCTAGCCATATCGCTGCTTGTTCCTGTTGCTCCTAGATCAACGCGACACCGGATCCGCCGCCAATGCCTCCCATAGTCCCGCCCGCCGAGGGTAGATTGCTCTCTCGAACAATTTGTCTTGCAGTAGTTTTCGTGCTTGGGCTCATAACCTGTTGGCAAGGATATGTGAATTGGTGAAGACAGCTAAAGGTCAAAGCAGCAACGTAAGAGTGATTTATTATAGGTGCTCTCAATCTCCTGGAATAGCTCACATTTCGACAAAGTTGTGCATGATAGGATGTGCGAGTGTCGATACACAGTTCTACAAAATGCATTAAGAGATTGTGTCTATCGTAAACTACTGACCGAACGTCGTGTATTCAATATTCGGTTGTTCAACCGGATTGACTGATCAAGGTAGACGGTTGTGTATTGATAGAAGAGCCACTACAATCCTTGGGTGTTCTGTAATATATTATATCTCGTCGAATTGTTTCTGATTCCAAACCAGATCATTTCCTTGCAACTTATCGGAACAGCTCGCCCTTTTCTTTCGGTACAATACCCGACAGCTACTAACTATATTGATCCATTCAGTTACCGAGATGTGGAGCATTAATACCGTGGCGCTCGCGCTTGTAATGCTCATCGGGTTTTTGTCAGTTTGTGTCTCCACTCTTCTTATGCTTTTTGGTCATGGAATAGCTAAGCAGAACACGCGGCGTGGGGCTCCACACACCTCGTCACACCAGGAATTTCTGCTTACTCATGTGCATGCTGGAATTGAGGAATCAGGTCTAATGGAGAGAATCAGACCGAATGGAGAAATCGTGCGACTGTTCTACCGCTTTTGGCTGCCTAGAGATCTGGACAATGCTAAAGATGCAAAAGCAGTGGTGGTTGCATTGCATGGTATCAACTCCCATAGCGCCCGTAACAACAAGTTTATGGTTGAGGTACTGCAACACGGTTTCCTGGTAGCAGGAATGGACCACGAGGGAATGGGAAGAAGTGATGGTAGACATGGATACTTTTCAAGTGTACATACATTGGTAGACGATGCCATCGCCTTTGTAGACTTAGTCAAAGCCAAATATCCTCGAAAGAAAGTCTTTTTATTCGGAGCGTAAGTGGTAGTACGAGCTGTTCAGTTTGTAACAATTTGTCAAGTGTGTGCTGATGGAATTGTGTTTCTTGGTGACAGGTCGCTGGGTGGGTTAATCATTCTGCATGCGCTCAGTAAAGGCGGCCCGAAGCTTGTTGATGGAGCTATTGTCTTGTGTCCGGCTATTGAGATTCACGAGGCATCGCGACCATCCCATCTGATGGAAGCCATCGGCAGATTGTTGCACAAGTACACGCCCAAATTGCCGCTGGTGAAGGCAAATAGTGGCAAGAACAATTCTCCAGAGGTTGCGGCTATTGCAGATGCAGATAAACAGGCTGATCCTTTGTACTATCCTGGCAAGATGCGTATTGGCACGGGACTAGCTCTGCTAGAAGGCATCGTGAGCATCCAAGACAAATTGCAGCTGATCGAGACACCATATCTTCTGCAGCATGGCACGGCAGATAGAGCTTGCAGTGTCACCGGTTCAGCGGCACTCCACCTGAAAACGCGCAGTGCCGACAAGACCTTCAAGACTTACGAAGGAGGACACCATGATTTGGCTAGCGAGCCACCTCACATCCGTAATGCTGTTGTGCACGACTTTGTGGTTTGGCTAGAAGACCATTCCAAGCTATAGTCGACGGCAAAAAAAGCTCATTTACATGGAACACGAGATTAATTGCTGGCTGGCAATGATACGTGTTCTGTTGTTACGAGATCACTAAAAATAAAAAGAAGCAAAAGATAGAGGAAAGTGGCAGCACGCAAACAACCGTGCACTTACTTACCATCGATTTTGCCATCCATGGCATCTACCAGCACGATTCTCTTAGCCATGTACTTGTGCAGAAACTTACGTCCGAAAGGGATGTATGAAGTACTGTACCAGATCATGCTACCAAACTGCAACAGAAGCAGTACGATCACAATAAACCAGTGTGAAGACCAAAAGAAGGCCACAGTGATCGTGAGCGCCATAGAACCCATCCACGCACGACCAGTCACGCTTCGTTTGCTCGAAAGCATACGTTTCTGAAGACGATTTTGACCCATAATGAAAATGAGACTGCAGAAGGTGGCAACGTTACTCAGCGAATAGAAGAGTGCGTAAAAGCGCACGTGGTGCACACCCGTGAACAGCATCACCGTGGCTGCGAAGGCGAAGAGACCACTGAGCACATAGCAGCCAACGGCGCACAGTGCACGCTGATTAAGCGTGAGCTGGTCGAACTCGTCACCAATGTCGTGTAATAGTCCGTCCTCTTCGTCGGTGTCTTCGTCGCTCGAGTCCTTACGACGTAATTTGGCCTTTTTCTTCTTGTCCTTGATATCAATATGAATAGACTCTCGAGCCGAGTTCATTTGACCGCTATCCCTCTCAATGGCTTTCTTGACCTGTTCCGTGCTCTTGTTGATACTGTCTTTGGCCTGTTTGGCCGCTTTTTCGGTGCACTCCTGCGCCTTTTTACTGGTCTTTTCTAGCTCTTGTTGTGTCTGCTTGGCAGCCTTTTCGATACTTTTTTGTGCTTTTTTACTGGTCTTTTCTAGCTCTTGTTGTGTCTTTTTGGCAAAGTTCTCGAGCTTGTCGCTCGCCTTCTTGCTCTGCTCCTTCAGTTGATCCATCATGATCTTACAACGAAAATCTTCTTTTTGCTTGATACCGACGTGCTTCTGATTTTTTTTGATGGCTACAGCACGATATCGTGTACACCACATTTCCACATCGATGAGGTTTGTATAGAAGTAAGTACCTGAAGAGCATATGAAGAGTGCGATGAATTTAGTGACACTCGTAGAGAAAGAATGTGACTTTAGCCTCGACAAACACACGTACAGAGCAAAAGTGAAGAGTGCAAACAATACGAACAGCTTTGCAAAGACAAGGTAAGAGCGCTCGCGGTGGAATGATTGTAGACACTAGAGGTGCGTCGGATCATGCCAGGCTATGAAATGATACGAACATTTAGGTGCTTTGTTGAACATGGAACTATTGGCGTTGGCAATTAAACCAAGGCGATGGTAGACCTAAAAGCGACGTCGACTTATACATAGGGTGAGCTTAGTACGGAGGCGACCGCTTACACGCTACGTGATATCTTGGTTTTAAGTGAAAGTCAGATGAATTGTATTCTAAGCGGCCACGATTCATGATTCAACTACTCCCCCTTTTTGCAAAAGCATGTCGTCGCTGCTGGTGCATGTGTTCTAACTTTGTCCGTACCATGGGCGTTGATTTGTTGAGCAAACGTCGATGGCGTTTTATAGCCTCCTTGCCATTGGTACTCACTTTGCTTTCAGTGTAGCTTAAGATTATACCCTCGCCGAGGCCATGATCATGCGTCTCGCTTGCAGATGTTAGTATGTCCAGCTTATAACCATCTCCTCAGCGTATTCATCCCATTCTTGCATGAAGTGGGATCATAAATGGGGCTTTGTAGGAAAAGATGATTTTAAATTTCAGAGCTTGTTGTCTTGGTCGTGTCCTATACTTTTTTATGTCGAATTGACGTGATCGCAAGACATCGATCAAGAGTCGTCCATACCCATACTTTCAGAGTCACAAATGTGGATAAGTCTTTTGTCAGGATACTCCGACAGTACGCTTTTGCTTACTAACATTTCAACTCTTGCCTTAGAATCACCTCCATGGTAAAAGTAACGCTAGCCGACACTTTTGTTGTCTATTGCAAGCTCTAGCAATTCTCTACATTTCAATCGAGTTACGCTTAAGGAACTCGTGTAGTATACCGTTGGCGTGCTCATCCATTCTGTGTTTATATTGCAGGCACATGACTAAGTCGTCTTTCTCGCAGAAACGCTCGAAGTTGTATAAATCAGAAACCTATGCTGCATCTTAGCAGCCTCTTGCTGCTGGAGATCTCGGGAAGTCTCATTGCGTTGCCCCGTACCATTTCCGCGGCAAAGCGCATAAGCTGCACCCAGGTTGCTATCTCTCTTTCATTTCTTGACCTCATACAGACCACGTTTCCGCCCAGGAATTCAATGCGGAAGCCACCATGTCCCATCATCTCGATCTTTGTCGCTAGACGTAAATCCAGCTCGCCTCGAAGACGCCGCCAATAGCTCCTTTTGTACAGCCTAACTTTAAACGACCAGAAGTCCAGTATACACCAGCGCTTGCTCCAGCTGCGTCGAAGTAGTGCAATGGACTCGCGAAGGATAAACAAATTACCGCAGTAAGGTGGCAGATCCAACTGTGCAACTTGAGAGGATATGGGCAAAAAATCGATGAACTCGGCTGTTGTGTATCGATCGTCAGGACTAGCTGCTACTTCCTCAGGGTCTTCCTGTTTAAGTGCTCGAAAAAGAACTTTTTGAACGTGATATTTCTCAACACGAATCACCTCAATTGCTTCCTTCATGCATACCAACTCGGTTTCGAACTCGGCTTCGTCATCATCATCTAGTTCAAAGAACTTGACCTTGAAACGGTACTCGCGCTCCATCTCAAGCAAATCGTTCTCTGTCATCGGGTTCCCGTCCTCATCTTGCAGCGTGAATCGTTCAGAATTGGTCCGGTGCAGCACACTGCGCATGCGGCTACTTGGCACTTTGCTTTTCGAGCCGAAGGGATACACTGTTGCCCGCTCGAACGGGTCGTGTTTATCGAGACTTTTGCAATCGTCCCAGAACTCGTTCATGCCGACGTTCTCACGAAACATTTGCACCGTGTTGGCAGCATCACTCACATCAAAGTAGCCATGCTCTTCAAAGAATGCAAGACCATCCGATGTCCGTCCTGCATACACGTCCAAAAGATGTTGATCGAATGGAGTTGCCAGTTCTCCACGTTGCATAATTGCCGATTGATGTGCAAAATCCCGACCGGCATGAGAAGTTGCGCCTTTTTCAACAGTCATCTGAGTCGAGCTCATACAAACAAAGAAAAGCTTAAATTAACTGCATCGTAGGTGCTTATAGAAACACGTGCTCGCTGTCACACCAACGGGCCCATGATAATTTAGTCACGTTACTTCGTTGTGACAAGTGACCGTCACCCATATCCTCAAAGAAGACTGTGACCCTTTTGATCGATGTCTTTTTCAAATACATAAGCGTGCATCTAATGGTTTGATCCATATTTTTTTCAAAAACATATTTCGTCATGGCATTGATGCCGTTTGATTCTTCAATGCTGTTTTTTTGTATTGCATGCACAAGTTGAAGGATTTTGTGTGCCTACGACGCCTAGGATGGGTACTGAATGGGTAGTAAATCTCGTCATTTAATGTCTGCATTGGATTGGAATTATCTTTATGCTAGAAACAAAAGTTAACATACTCCACCCGATATAAATGCATGTATACAAACACACTTTCGTGTAAAGTATGGCGCTTAGCTACTGACGTAGCTCGCTGCTTTGGAGCAACCCTTCCGGAGGACGGCCCGGCCGTAAGGAATGAACGAAGCGCCATACCAGAGCATTGCAACGTACTGTATAATCACCAGCAACATCACTAGTGGCCCTGCCTTTGGAAAACCAAAGGCAATAATAAGTGTCGTGCACATGGTACCCAGCCAGACGCAACAGGCTATACGTCGAACAGGCATGCACATAATCTTGAGCTGTCGCATAGGGCCGATCAAGAAGAGCGAGCTACTAATACTGCACAGAGCTCCGAGTGTGTAAAAGAAAGCAAACTGCTTGAGGTGTTTTGGGCCTCCCCACATCATCAATGTAGACAAGAAACCACAGAGTGCACCGAACAAGTAGCAGCCAATAGCTCCATAGAGTCGCTGACGTTTAGTAAGACCACATATTTCCTGCCCCAATTCATTAAGTAGTCCCTCTTTCTCCTGACTGATATTAATAGGCGATTTGCCTTCCTCCACATCACTCTCATTGACCGTGTCAGCGAGCGAAGTGGATGAGTTTGACGACTTGACTACAGTCGGTATTTTGATGTTATGTGCAACAGCTTTCGCCTGCAATACCGCTGAGCTTTTCTGCGTCGCTTTTTGTGCCGCGTCTTTGAATGATCCCGCTGTATCTCGCGCTAATGTCGCCGCGTGCGTTGATTTAGCCTTTATTTGCTCCAACATGTGCAACTTAATGGGGTATTATTGCTTAGTGGCGTATACATGTATTTGGAAAATATCGCATTGGATATTATCCAATCAAACGTTTTTTTACAATATATTGGTAATATATTTCCATTCTTTTTTCCATCATTAATTACAGTAATACTGTAACAAAATGTCGGATTCGGAAGAATATGAATACGAATACGATAGTGACGAGCAATTTGATAGTGATGAACAAGAGACAGTAGAAGACAAAGCGAATGACGAGGAAGCGATAAATCAACGCGTAATCACTCGTGAAGCACAAATTGCACTGGAAAATACGTTTTACGAGGCTGAAGATTTTCGTCAACGTGGTGAATTGACACAGGCGCTCGAATATTTCCAGCGTGTAGTGACGTTAGAGCAAGGAACGACGCCAATTGAAGAAAGAAAGTGGAGTTTTCAGGCACTTGAGTACGTGGTGAAAATTTGTGTGAGTCGACACCAATGGGACGAGATGCTGCGTCACTATGAACAAATGCTCGAACACTTGGCATTTGTTACACGAAATGAAAGCACGGAATCAATTTCATCGATTCTCGACGTAGTGTCCAATGCTACGGGAAAGAAAGAGGAGAAGAGTAGTGCCAAGTATACGTCCAAAATGTATGAGCTGACGCTGGACAAACTCAAGGATGTCAATAACGACAGACTCTGGTTCAGCATGAACGTTAAGCTGGGAAAGTTGTATCTGGACATGCAAGAATTTGATCAGCTAGAGAAGCTACTGCATCAGCTGTATAGCTACTGTCAGACTTCTGATGGAGGGCAGGACCAGTCGAAGGCCACGTCGCTACTAGATGTCTACGCGCTGGAAATTCAGGTAATGACAACGTCGACGTGATGTATGGCGTTTACATAAGGCTTACATATTTATCCGCTTATTTTGTGCATGTAGCTATGCGTGGAGACTAAGAACGGGGCTAAAATGCGCGTCATTTATCCAAAGACGCTGGATCTGGATGCTGCCGTTGCTGACCCGCGAATCATGGGGTAGGTGTTATTGTTGCTATAGTAGTCACCGCAGTAGACGACTGTTAATCACATTTGGATTGTGTGATGTAGCGTTATTCGCGAGGAGGGTGGCAAGATGTATTTAGAAGAGAAAGAATGGATGCTCGCGTACAACGAGTTCTTTGAAAGCTTCCGCAATTACCAGGAAGCTGGCAACTCGCGCGCAACGCGCTGTCTGAAGTATGTCGTCCTAGCTAACATGTTGGCTAGCTCGGATATTAATCCATTTGATTCGCGTGAAGCAAAGGTATATCACGATGTGGAAGAGATTGGCGCGATGCTGCTGCTACGCGGTGCTTATGAGTCCAACGATGTTGTGCAATTCGAGAAGGTTCTACGGAACCCCAAGTACAAACTGCTCAGTGATCCTATCATGAAGCGTTACTTGAACCCACTGCTGCACAACATTCGACGCCAAGTCATGAAGACGATCGTACGTCCGTATCAAACAATTCACATTGAGAGTCTGTCAAAAAGGATGAATATAACCAGGAAGGATGTCGAAGATATCGCCGTTGCACTCATTCAGAATCTTGAGTTGGACGCCAAGATCGACCAAAGTCGAGGGCTTCTTGTGCTACAGACACGAGAAAAGTGCGTCATTTATTTGCACTCATGTTATTTGCGTGACTTCCAACAGCGTGTTTTCTGTCTGTGCACGGTGTGTAGAGCTCGAGATGCTGGCAAGATGTACGATGCATTGGACCACTGGACTCAAGCACTTACCGCGATGCATACATCGATTACAGCTCGGGTGACGGCACATCCATGATGTTGGAAATGTCACAAGCAATTTAACTCGAGCAACACTGTAGCGTTTCTCATTTATCACGTTGGCCCTGTCTGAGCGGATTAGTTCAACATACAGCCGAAATAAAAGCAACTCTATTCATTGTTCGTGTAGCAGCGCCGTGGGATTACAGAAGTTAGATGAGCCGACACTGCGTATTGTGTTCCTTAATATAGCTCATCACTGCTTCGTCAGATGCAGTAGAAGTCACCACCTGATACAGAGCGTGAGTGGCTAGATCGACGAGAGAAGTCGAGCTTGACACCACTAGCGTCTCACAATTGCGTGTTTCGGCTCGGCCGTCTGAGAAAAGCGTCGATGAGACAACCTTCAACGCCGCGCCAAACAGCGCCCGTGTCGACGATACCGTGTAGTTAGTGACAATACTGACGTTGTCAGTGCCCACAAGAAGCATCAAAGCATCTACTAACTCGCACCGCTTGATCGCAGCACCGTCTGGAACATCCACGATCTTACCATTGCTGATCGTTCCGAGCAGCACATCCAAATCGACAAGCACAAACAGGACCGGCACCAAGAGCGGTAAGGCGAGAAACCGTACACTTGGGTTGGCAATCACATGGCGGCTCTGAACGAGCTTCAAGTCACAGTCCTTTCCGCCAAGTTTAAGGGTAATACCGAGTACATCTTGAATCGTTGAAACGACATTTTCTAGCGCACGCTTAAAGTCGTCCGGGTACCGGTAAAGCCACGCTAGCAGTAGAGCAGCAAACAGATCACCAGTGCCGGTGTAGTAGCTGTCAATCCACGGAAAACGCACTTCATACTGCTCGCAGTACAGTTCATTTCCATTAACTCCACCATTGCGGACCTTGCTGCCAATGACCATTAACTCCATAGGGCTCTCATCCTCGGAGCCTTCCTGGAAACTGCTAATCACCACAACCTTCGGTCCCAGCGTGTGCAATTTCTTACATGCACGCATAGCAACCTTAACAGTATGTAGCTCCATTTCCGCCAGCAATTCACACTCGTACTGGTTCGGTGTCAAGACATCACAAATCGGCAACACTTTGGATCGGTACAAGTCCACTGCAACATTCACAACTCTTCCGTTAGAGTCACACTTGCAACCCACCAGCACTTCCAATTGTTTGCTACGTACCGAGCTCCAGGGGCACGTAAAGCTTGCCTAAATCTCCCATTACCGGGTCGCACACGAACACGAGACGCTCTGGGTCGGTCTGTGCAGCTCGTAGACGTTCATGCACACGCACAATAGCGTCCAATAGTGAAATAGAGCCAATGTAACCTGTCAAAAGGTGTGTATGTGCATCTGTAAGCAAGTTATTGGTCTCCATTCCGTCCAGTAGATCATGGAGCTCATCACCCGTGAGCCGGCGACCTGTAAAGTGTTTATAGCCAGTATGATTGGAAAACTGTACACTATTAATCGGGTCCACATCCATTCCCAATAGCTGCAAAGGGAATACAGCGCTCTTGTTCCCAACGTAACCCTGTACTACGTGCGACTGGATACTTAACACGCGACCACCGTCTTGTTCCGTCATGATCGGTCTTATGACGGACGTTGGACTGATTGCTCAACGTTCGTGTAAAACCACACAATTTGACGCAATACTGAAGTAACGTCCAACTTCAATGTCTTCATGGAACAAAGTGTATGTAGTGTAAACCTCATGTTTACGAAATGTTATGGTAAACACGTGCATTATCACTTTGGTATAACGCATTTGTTTGCAAGAGAAATGACGCATACAGTAACTATCGCCTGAGAGGCACTTACTAAATTAAAACAAATCAATGAAAAAGTATTCGAGCATTGGGCTCAAGAACACGACTATCAATGCTGACTTAGTAAGGTTTCTTGCATTGTGTTTGTAGGTCATTTACGCAACCAGTTACAGATGTAGTGACTGCTGGCGGTCAGCCGACAGATTGACCGCCAGCCGATGGAGACAACGAGTATCACAATCTCTGCATAAACGACAAACATGAACAGGTTATAACGCCGTTGTGGAAAAGTAGGAACATCGGGTGGGCGTTTGGTTGCAGCTGCTTTCTGCAGCGCTGCCGGGTGTGCGCTAGAGACTATGAAAAAGGTACTTGCGCTTCCCGCATTCCATCGTCAACTATTGTTGGTACGTCCTTACTTTCAAACTTGGGACGAGCGGGTGTGTTAAAGTCGCATTCACATTCAGGCGAGTGTGCTACAGTCGCGAAAGTGGTTACTGGAAACAGGACAGCTACTAGGACGTTCAGCGTATGGGCTCAGCTTGCAAGTTGCTGCTAATTGCGCTTGCCATCGCAACAGGTAAAAACGAAACTTTAGACGAAGTCAAGTGAATTGTCTGCTAATTTACTGGTCATGTAGATGCTCACACGAACGCTTTGACGCTGCACTCTCGGACTGATGATGACACCTTCATCATACCACGAGAAAGCACTATTCCGACCAATACTTCGCCGAGCACCGTCATCGATAGTGACGTATCGGATAATACTAAGAGACCAGCATCTTCAGTCAATACAGCACCAACAACTTCCTCTATATCGGACTCCGATTCAACATCGACGCTTGACAACACTGACCAAGATGCGACCAAGTCATCTACACACGACTTTGCAACAATTAGTTCAGGATCGATATCAGATCGCAACACAAACGACTTGGCGGATGAAACCAATTCTACGCCACCACCACCAGCAGTGATCTCCAAGTCATCGATAGACGGTCTTGACTTGGTCAGTCATAGCAACACGCAGTCGAGTGCGGATGGTTGGACTGGCATTGTCGAGGCTCTTTCGGTCGTGTTTGGAGCTCTTGCTTGTGTCGGGGTCGTAATCATGGTTGTAACGTACAAGATAAAACGTGGCGTGAATGAGAATGACAGCAACCGTCCTAGCCTCGACTGCGAATATAGCGGGGATTGCTTCGATGACCGTGCGCTTAGCGTTGTGCAGGATAAATCCTCGCTTGTCGCTACGAAGACGCCAGACACTGACTTGGCTGCGTCTGCTTGTATCGTTAACTTTGTGGATCCCAATTCGTCCGTTAGCACAACGTCTTCACTCGGCAGCACCCGATGCAAGGTGCGCACAAGTTCTGCTGTTCCAAGCTCAAACTCGAATAGCGAGAGTAGTATGCAATTGCAAAACACCCGGCAGGTAGAAGGCATCGATGTGGTCCTCACTTTTAATGAGGATTGGGATTCTTCACGCTTAGCACCTGAAGTACATCTGTAAATAATGCGTAGCTGTGCTGCGTCTGCCTTGCTGGGAACATCACCTCCTAGCTAGACGGCTTGAAATTTATCTGTAAACACGCCTGTGAATTCGAGGTAAATGAGTTTACAACAACAACAAACATCGAGAAAAAAACTCTTCCTCCTCCGCTCTTTACTTGCTACTACGATCTATCACGGTGGCCAGCTCGCACGATATTGCGATACGAGAACTCATCAAAAAACGGGGTGTTAAGAGCCTCTTTCGCTGTCACCCGGTTTTCGGGGTCCAGCACCAGCATGAGCTGCAGCAGCTCGAGCAGGCCACTCTTGGCATCCTCACGAGAAATCAAGTCCGCCAGCAATCGCATCCTCCGTACGTGATCAACACTTTCGTCACTCGATGAACCAGCAGGCCAATTCAGCCGCCCACGATGGAAAAACTTGGATGAAACCGAGTGCTTCGATGCTTGAGCCTTCATTTTGACAGGTAGTGGCCCGATACAGCGCTCCATGAGAGCAAGGTGCTCCAGATTCTCGTGGGTTGCAAACAGCAGTTCACCTAAGTAGAGCTCTGCGATGATACAACCGGCTGACCAAATATCCGACGGATAACTCCAACCGAGTCCAAGAATTACCTCGGGAGAACGGTACTGACGCGTGTTAATAATGGAGCTCTTCGACTCGTCTTCGTACGTGGCGCCGCCAAAATCAATCAACTTTACCGCGTTGCTTGCTGGAGGACGCAGCGACAGTCTACCGGTATCGACATCAGAAATGGCGCGCTCGCGCTTTTTCCACTGACGTCCGTTAGACCATTGTTCACGTCCTGACGAGCCACCGGGTGACCCAAACGAAGATGTCGATGATGGCGACGAAGAATCACACGAAAGTCTCTCCTCTTCGTCATCAACCAGCAGTATGTTTTCAGGCTTGAGGTCCGTGTGAATAAGCCGGATGCTGTGAATAAACTCCAACGACGTCAAAAGTTGCCACGCATAGGCGCGGATGCAGTGCATCGGGAACGGCTTGTAGTCGTGGTTCTTCAGATAGTCGTATAATGAGCAACCGAGTCGTTCAAACACCATGCACACATGACCTTTATACTCAAACCATTTGAACATACGGACACAGAGCGACTCATTGTTCTTGTCCTTGTCGTTAACATCCTGCAGAATAGCAGCTTCAATCTTGGCTGATTCCGTGTACTTGTCGACTTTACGGACGACCTTAATAGCCACAACAATGTTCCGTTGTTTGTCCAGACACTCGAGTACTCGACCAAATGTACCCAATCCCGCCTCCCGGATTATCTTGTAGCGGTTTGCAATATATTCTCCAGGTTTCCCAGCATAACTGCCCACCGTATCATCATGTGACGTGCTGTCTTCACTCCCATCTTTTTGTCCAATAGGCGGTAAAAGTGGCACTTGTTCCCGTTCGTGGTACGAATCACGTCGTCGTTGTTTGTTTTTACCACGTGATGAGCGACGCCGACTATTGTAGTCGATAGTCTCGGGACTATTACGTCGTCCTCTTGCCTGGCTCTTGCTTCGTGATGATCGCATCTTCCGACTATTGTAGCTGCCACATCAATGACACATAATTAACAATGACACACCTTATGTAAAAAATAAGTGATCCATAAATTACGCACCGACGGTGACGACGATGGCTACCATTTGAACCAGAACGGGATCGAGTGCCGGAATGTCTTCGATCGGATCGGGGTCGGGATCGACCTCGTGGTGCTCTTGAGTCTGTAAGAAATGATACAAGATTTGTAATTTTGACAAAAGTACCACCCCCTCTTGTCAAAAATGACGTCAAAAAAAGCTTCTTGTTTTACTGCACCTGTTCTTCGTCTCGTAGAGCGTCGATCATGAGGTGAAAAGCTGCGACTGCGTTTATTTTTCTTGTCGTCGTAATCCGGTTCGATCGTAGAGCGTCGGGAGCGAGGACGTCGGTGCATTGAACTAGGCCCTGGAGGCGGTCGCATATGGTGTCGACGCAAGTGATAACGTAGACGCGAAGACACGGGGCTGAAGCTACGACTTCGTCGATGACGGCCCATCGTATTTTCCACGCGTCGCCGCCTCTCCATCGTCCACTGGATAGCGAACGAAGCAATGAGGACGAGACGCAAGTACCGAGCTTCTCCGTCTAAAACAAGCCGCCCTCCTTTTGGTCGGATGAAGTGGTAATATGAAGTAACGCGTTGAAGTAGCATTCGAAAATGACATTGAGCCATAAATGTATGAGACATTGTATTTTGGGACAAATAAGCGACGAACGAAAATGACGACGCTCGTCATAGGAAAGAACTTGCCGGGGAGCCGCAATGACGAGTTTTTTAGCTGGGAAGACACTGCAGTGGGACGTAAAGCAGATACAGGTGGTGCCTTTGAAGTGGAACAGATGATCCAGCGCGAGATTCGCTCGGATCCGACTGCTTTATCGAAAATTTACGACGTTCCAGACGACCAGGATACGTATTTGTGGCAATACGAACATTTACGTCAAGTAATGAAGGAATTGAACGTGCTTGTAGCACGACTAGATGGAAAATGTACACGGGAGTCGTGTCCTATGATGAAGGCTACAGATGATTGGGTGTTTCTATGTGCAGCTCATAAGGCACCGAAGGAATGTTGTGCCTTTGAGTACATTGTGCATACGATGGACAATGTCAATACTCTACTCACGAGTAGTCGTGTCTTCCCGTCTCGTGTCAGCATCAGTTCTAATGCGACGCAGTACTTTCAGTCCGTCTCACGGCGTCTGTACCGTATCTTTTCACACACGTTCTTCCACCATTTAGACGTTTTTAACGAGTTCGAAGACAAGTCGTATTTGTGCCATCGCTTCGTCTACTTTGCACTCCACTTTTGCCTCATTCCTAAGAGTCTGCTCATTATTCCCGATATTGGCTAAAGCAGTCGATGATGGGTCGTTTACACTTTGTTTTTAAGCTCTTCATTTTGAATACAAGATCGTCCTCCACGACTTTTTTCTCTCTTGATTTCAACGAACTACTAGCTCGCTCAAGTCTTTTGACACGTGCCTACTACTTGTCGAGCTTTAGCTTGCAAGTATCCTCATGTCTTGAGCGTCAACTTCGCTAAATTCGTCGTGCTCATGACCGTCGCAAGTTGTTCAGCCGCGCCTCAAGGTCACTAATGGCCGAATCCGTTGACTCACCCCCTCCTGCAGCTACAGGAGCAGCAGGCAGCACTACTGTCGATGGGGTGGATTTTGTAGCCACTGCTACAGGTGCAGCCTGAGCTGTTGGTGCCTCAGGCACTGCTCCCGTCATGTCGATACCTATCTCATCCAGCACCTGTCCAACAATCCGATCTTCCTCTTCCTCGTCCTGATCAGCTTCCATGACGTCATCAATAGTATCACCAATCATATCTTGAGTCATCTCCATCTTCTCACTCTCCTTCGTGTACTCCATCATGATCTGATTAAGTCGTGGTAGGTTCATAGTCGTGGCCATAGCCTTCATGGCTGTCGTAGTACCTTGCAAAGCCGATGTCATGGCTTCTGCTGAGCTGGCCGTTTCCAATCGTAATGACACTGCTTGCAACTGTGAACGCATTGTATAAAACTTGGTAACGTGTTGACGCGTACGGACCAAGTCCTTGGCCATGATCTTGACACTGGCAATCTGCCCCTGCTTGGCCATTTTCTTGATTTCAATGATAAGTTTCTTCTCCTGCAACTGAAGATTTGTACGTTCACGATCCAACTGTCGTACAGCGCGATTGATCTCGCGTTTATTCTCACGAAGCTGCTCCTTTAGCGTTTTCTTCGTGCCAAGTGCATTGCCCATGACGACGAAATAGTACTTTGAGAATTAGACAGTTTGAAACCGAACTTAAGCAGGCAACACGGATTTTCTGCATCTCTTACTGTATAAAAAAATTGTTTTAGTATGAATCTATATTTTGCTACCTTAGCCTCACTCACGCGAGCTGAGCACTGACGGACAATTAGTCGAGTTCAATTTCACAGTCTGTTTGTCGTGTTTAAGTATCTGAGAAGCATGATTAGAGCGCCAGATATCAAATTAGTCGATGAGGTCACGTCCAGCAAAATTCAGTGGTCACCATGTTTGCACCTTCTTCGTCGTCCACCTTATCTGCGCTCAAGCATAATATGCATCTCCCCCTATACCGTGTCCAGCAACGCCGCATTAGGTTATGCAACAGCGTCGCTGCGGGCGGAAAGGACGACCCGGCTGCTAAAGTATTCCTGCCTTGCGTTTTGTGCAGAAATCGCGATGCCCTTATAATTTAGGTCATTCAAGTGAGTTATTGCGTCTACCGTAGACGCTGGATACCGGGCTTGGTCATCGTCAATCTTCTTCGTCTTGTCTTCTCCAAGTACCAAAAGACAATCTCTAAAGGTGCGACTCTTAAGATCTTTCAGTCGCTCAGCATTGGCGACGCGTATATTCGGACGCAATCTGCACACTTGCACGCGACTCCAGAGATACAACTCTTATTTGAGATGACAACATTATCAGAACGCATTCCCTTTAAGACAACGGGAAGAACCTGGTGAAAATCAGCGCACATCACACAAGTGATCCCGCCAGGTGGAATGTCAGGCTCAATGATGATATCGCGAAGTGTACGGTATAGAGTGAGACTCGCAAAATTGATGATATGATTAAGAGTCTCCGCTGGCGTTTGGACGACCGACTAACAGAGGGGGTACCCCGATTTCGTGTGCAAAGCCTTTCTCACCTTGTGTACCCGTAAGTTGGGCAAGTTGCACCCTTCTAGGTACAACCCGCCCAACTTATGGGTAAACAAGGTGAGAAAGCTTTCCACACGGAAAAATTTGAGTCGATGTTGATCCTAATTGTGTAAGGGGTAGGGGGTTTGGTGATCTTGTGGAAATTTTCACGCGATCGACCGTGTACTTGCTTGTTGATATTACCAATAGATCCCAATAATACAATAAAGCGAAGCTTGGATCTTCTGACCACTTAAGCAAAACATCTGAAAATTTGAGCAGAAATTTCTGACCACTTAAGCAGAATTTTCTGACCACTTGATCCGTCCTGCACTTGCTTTGCCTTGCCATACTTGTTGTATCTGCATTCAATCGCACTTGAGTTATTTTGAGAGTTCTTGCAATTCTTAACCAAACAATCCAGGAATATGACTTGCGTAGTGTGTAGGCTTCCTCGAGACGTCGGATGGCCAAAATATCCAGCCCGGAAGAGAAGTCGACACGTGTATTTTGAAGTGAAATTGAACTCTGTTTAATTAAACCAACCAAATGCAAAAACCTATGATCTTGCCTATCTGTAGCCCAGGATCTACTGCCACGTGTAGTCCTTTCAAAAAATTAGATCTCGATATCTGGTCCACCCCAAATATCTTCATAATCCCCATCCAATCGCGATCTTGACTTATTCTCGGATCGCGATCTGGAACACGATCCGCTTCGGATTGCGTTTCTGCAAAATGAATCGCGATCGATCCTCAATTTCTAATCCACATAACTCATCATCACGATTGACACTTTCCAGATTTGTTCTTTCGGTCCTCCACACCGGCCTCAAATGCAAACTTATTCATCATCGGTGCTTCGTCTCAAAAAAGAGATTCATGCGGTGAAGCATTTCGGCAAAACCACTCTGTTTATTTACGAGCACACTGAGTTAGGCTTTGATTAAAATATTAAATTAAGAGTGAGGTGCAGCTCTGACTTATAGCAACGCTATGTGTCCCAGACCCCGCACTGATATGAAGAGCAAATTTTCTAGATATGTTTTTCGGTTCCACCGGGGCCGACATTAGACCACCTTGCTCCTCGTTGCAGGACGACATGTTCTAACATTAAGTGTTAAGCTGTTCGCGTTCAAATTCTGCACCCGGTTGTCCGCCTCTTCTTTCAGCTTGTCTATGTTGGATACTAGCTGCTCTGCAATGAAGCAATTTCCCTGCAGCTCTTTATTTCAAACGCAGACGCAGGCAGCCTATCGTCCGCAAGGGTCTTCTCAAAAGTCGCCAATATATTTGCTATCAGATCAAGCGCCAGATTCTTATTCTGGTTAGCTGACGGATCCGCAAGTTCATCCTGGCGAAGTCAACACGCCAGTTGTCCTATAAATTATGTGAAACTCATCCCATAGGTGCCGCGACTCAGCAGGTGGTGCATGGGTTAAGATCGTGACAAAGAGGGATCTAGCTGAGAGCCACTTGTTATATCAAATGCAAGTGAGTAGGAGTTAGAAAATGAGAAACCAAATGTACTGTAACTCATAATCCTAGCTATCTCTGGTTGTCCGTTACCATCGGTCACTCCCTGACAATTCCTCAAGAGTCGCTTCGCCTTCTCAGAATATCTCTCCGCATTCTCCGAGGGCCGCAACCTGTCAATATCAACTACGTTCTGAACGCCTGTGACTGATCGCCCCAGTTTTAACGTGGCTGGAGCTCCGTTGCTTACACACACTATAGGTCTTACGAGGAAGCGTAAGAGAGTGCTTAATAACTAGCGCTTAAGGTATATTATAACTCTGATTTTTATATCTTCGTTTTTTATGCTAAGTACGAGTGGTCCTTAAACGCATGGGAACCATTCAACTATAGATCTCTCTCCTATTGGCTGATAATGAGACTGATTCTCACTTACCTGCAAATAGAGATACGATATGCTACACCCGGGTGTAGTATATAATTACCTATGTAATATGGATTAAACTATGGCTAGTTGTGTAACGGTATGCCCCGTTACACCAGTAACTACCCGGGCAACCGACGCCCTGATACCATAACTTATCACTAAAGCAACCGTTCACACCTTAAAGTAGTTTCCGATCACTCAAACCATGAGAAAGTTCTACTCGCGCGGTCATTGGGAGAGCATCGTGAGCACCCACAGCCTATCAAGTCGCGGTACTCGCAGTACACTTACTCAAGCACGTTTTCCCGATAATTTTTTCACAAAACTTTACCTGACGTCGATGCTCTTAGCACGTTCAGGTGTATACTCTCCTTGCACATACTTTATTGCCACTTGCTTATCCACATTGAGCCTGTACGGAACCCGAACCGTGATTCCGATTCAATCAGAAACTCTGTGACCCCGAGAAGATCGGCGGCCACCTGTGATGCCGCGACAAATTCGGCCTTTATCAAGGAAAGTGCCACGCTGGCCTGCTTCTTGCACGTCCAACCCACCACCGTTCCACATACAAGCAGCACGCCAAGCTAACGAATTTGCGATCATGGTGATCTTTAATAAATTAGGCGTCGCTGTATGCCTCATCTACGACGCTTTTTCCACGCATTCCGCCATGTGTCGTGTGCATGCAAAATTTGGTATCAATCGTATCTTTTAGGTAGCGTGCAACTTTCCTTGCTAACCTCCAGTCACTAGTGCGTGGTGCATGCGTGCATTTCGCAGCCCAATGCACTGAAAACGAGATACCCATCTTATACAGCTGGAAGATCAGCAGAAGACTACATACTAAAGATTAGAACGTCCGAACGGCTGGCTGCACGGGGCTCCCGAGTCCATCATTCGGCAGCAAATCCCCTCCTGTTTCGTCCTCCTGCTCACCCCCGATCGGCACACTCACCGCCGTCGCCGTAGATATACCGAACTTGTTAAGGAGGTCTTGTATCACATGTTTTTACTCGAGAAGGCAACCGTCTGTACCGCCATACTTGAACGCGATGCCTAAAAAGTTCGACCCCACAAGTCTTCAAGTCGAGTAAGAATATGTCCGCGAAATATATCTTCCACGTGTAATGAAATTGGTTGGAGAAATTTGGATCACGTACATGGCATGGATCACATTGTGAAATTACACTTGATTATGCTATGGAAACAACCAGGTTTTATCGGATCGATTAATCGATCGACAAAATTTGTTTTGATTACACTATGGGATCGATACGGTTATATCGGTTGTTTAATTGATCGTCAGAACTACCTAGTTATACTATGGAATCGATCGGGTTTTTATTAGATCGATCAATTGATTAGTGGAACTATTTGATTATATGGGATCCATCCGGTTTTATCAGATCGGTCTGTCTATCTTCTATGATTGTTACGGGCCAAGTGGAGATTACGACTACATATCAACCTTTTACGCTTGAACATGATCGTATCTGCGATAATAATTGACTATAACCGATCTCACTTTGCGATCGTGACAAGTTCCGATTGATGGCAACTACGATCGTAATCGCGTCTATAACCGGTTACAACCGATCGTCCCCGCGATCGGGATCTCGATCGTTCCAATCAATCGACATGGGTACAATTACGATCGGACCAACATGGATACAATTACGATCAGATCGACATGGATACAATTGCGATCAGATCAACATAGATACCATTGCGATCGGATCGACATGGATACAATTGCAATCGCATTGACATGGATACAATTGCGATCGCATTGACATGAATACAATTGCGATCAGTTCAACATGGATACAATTGCGATCGCATTGACGTCGCAACAAAGAGGAAGATCGACTCTACATTGGGGTGAGCTACATATCGAGATCTGATTTGTATGAAAGGACGAAACGTGAGAGAAGACCCTGGTATACAGATAGGCAGTATCGTAGGTTTTAGTACTTGATTGGTTAATTATAAACATAGTTTCTTTTACTCTTAACTACGCACGCAGACTTCTCTTCTGGGTGGGATATTTTTTTGGCCCCCCCAACGATCAAGAGCTTCTGCTACCCTACATACAAGTAACATCCCGGTATTGTTTGGCCAAGGATTACAACATCTCTCACAAACAAACTTCGCCTGCGATGGACGCATTATTACATAAAAGAC